CCGCCCCCCCCAGAATATGCAAATTAGGTTTTGTCTCCACCTAAAGAGAGAAACTCCATTCTTTCACCACCAGGCATAAGGCAGCCTGGAATGTTCAGTTGTTCTGGGCCATGAACAATTCTTGTCCTATTGCTCTGCTATGGCTTCTGCATCTGAGTCAGCCCCTCTCTTCTGCAAGAAAGAAGTCCTTTGAGGAGTCCATTGAGGGTTGAGGGGTTGCACACCTGGTCCCCATCACTAGTCAGGGGACAGGTGACTCAGAACCTGACTGTGGGCCAGGCTTCCCCACCGCAAAGTGGAGTTGGTCTTAGGCACCTAGTAATCAGCTCTATTTTATTCTTCACAGCAAGTTACTCAGCGTGGTCCATTTTGGGGTGATTCTCATTCTACTTCCAGTAAATTAACTTGCCAGCCAACATTCCATCTAGAGCAGCGGTTCTCAACCTGTGGGTCGCGACCCTTTGGGGGTCGAACGACCCTTTCACAGGGGTTGCCTAAGACCATCAGAAAACAGATATATAATTACATATTGTTTTTGTGATTAATCACTATGCTTTAATGATGTTCAATGTGTAACAATGACGTTGGGGGTCACCACCACATGGGGAGCTGTATTAAAGGGTCGCGGCGTTAGGAAGGTTGAGAACCGCTGCTCTAGAGCTTTAAGGAATGAGCCTGGAGGTGCTGTGGCCACGCCTGGGACCACTCAGCACGTCACTGCCCCTTGACTCCAGGTGAAACCCAGTCACTAATTTGTATTCTTGGAGTATGTTTTTCAAAGATACCAAAGCCGCCTTCTAGCCTGCATTCAGATCGTATTCCTTCCTTTTGCCCCAAAGATACTGTTTCTATTCATTCATCAGAAGTTTACTTCTTTATGTTCACCCTGTTGGCCCTCCCCACCCACGGGGCCTGCATCCACTCGGAGTCCACCAACCCGGATGGAAAATATTTGGGGGAACCTTTGGCGTTGCTGCTGCAGACTAGTTAGGCCTACCGTATTTGCCGGCGTATAAGACAACTGGGTGTATAAGACGACGCCCTAACATT